AGAAATTCATCCTTTGACTTTGGGATTGGCTTAATTCACTTATCATGATAATCTCCAGTTTCATCCATTTATGAACAAATGCCATAATTTCATTCTTCTTTATGGCTGAATAATATTCCATTGTGTGTATGTACCACATTTTCTTTATCTATAGATCTGTTGAAGGGCATCTAGGTTGATTCCATAGTTTAGCTACTATGAATTGAGCTGCTATAAACATTGTTGTGGCCATGTCACTGTTAATATGCTGATTTTAAGTTCTTCGGGTTTATGCTGAGGAATGTGATAACTAGGTCAAATGGTGGTTTCATTCCAAGTTTTCTGAGGAGTCTCCATACTGCTTTTCATAGTGGTTGTACCAATTTGTAGTCCCACCAGCAATGTATGAGTGAACCTTTTCCCCACATTCAGCCAACATTTATTGTTACTTGTATTCTTGGTAATTTTATGGCCATAATTTCTTTTCTTTTTAATTTAGTTACATATAATGATTTTGGTACAGTATTTTGTTTGTTGTTGTTTATTCCAAAAGAGTTTCTAATTTTCATTACAGTTTTTTCTTGGGCCTGTGGATTAGAAATAAACAACTTATTACTTCAACATGAGGATTATCTTATTTTTTCTTATAGATTTCTTTTTCAAATATATAATAAAATACCTTTTTATTCCTTTTTATCTATCTACTATACCAGCTGTTAATTGGTTAGATTTTTGAAATATTTGTGTTTTAAAGAATATGTTTTATGCAGTTGCATGGTACAGTGTAAAGTTGCTCTGTGGAGAAAATGTTCTGCTTGCTTACTGATTTTTAAGTGTTCTTATTATATTAGTTACTGAATCATTATATTTGAGGTGAGTTTTGGACTATTTTTTTTAATCCATTTTCAGTCTCTGTCTTTAATTGTGTATTTAGGTCATTTAGTTAATATAAATGCTATAGCTTAAGGTTGCCATTTTATTATTGTTTTGTTTCTTTCCTCCTTGTCGCTGTCTCTCCTTCTATCACTCATTCCCCTTTTCTTTCCTTGTGGGTTCTTGATCTCTTTTTCAGAATTCTAATTCGAATGATCTCTTAATGTTTTTGAGTGCATTACTTTGTATAGTTTTTCAGTGAGTGCACTAGTTTTACATCATACCTTTGTAATTTATCACAGAGTGCTGGTGTTAACATCCATTTACATTTGCGTAAACCACCTTATAACTTGTCCCCTCTATTTATTTATTTATTTATTTTTGTTCTTATTCTGTTTTATTCTGATCTTTAAGAGAAAATTTATCTGGGAGGGTTGAAGGAAGTCTTGAAATCAAGTCTGCCATTAGATTATTAAGGGCATGTGTGGTTGAGGATGGTGGTATGGGACAGTAAGGGTTTTGGTTCCTGAAGTGTGTACTTCCTCAGCTTCATTTTTGGTTGTAATTTTTTTTTTAGAATTAATACACATAAAATTTTGCTATTCCTTACCAGCTCTTTCCCCTTAAAGTGTAATAATGCATTCTTTTGTTCATTTGGAATAATTACATATAATTTATTCCAAATTATATTGCCTTCTAAAAACCAAAATTCATGTAATAAGTTTAATGCTGAAATATATCTTTATCAAACTAGAAGTGAAGGTCAAATCATCAATGAATACCAAAGACACCTACCTGCACCAAAGGCGATATCAATAATAGAGGAATTTAAAAACTTTGAATTCTTCACATTTTCATCTTTTAAAAAATATGTATTTAGTTGTAGATGGACACAATATCTTTATTTAATTTTTTATGTGGTGCCAAGGATTGAACCCAGTGACCACTGATAATATAAATTACCCCCGCCCCATATTTTCATCTTAATAAGCATTTCTGAAGCTCTTTTGCACTTTGTTTAAATGTTTCTATAAATTTTCTTTTGGCTTTTGACATTGTTACTTTAATGCTATTGATGCTTTAAGACCATCCTCTGAAGTAGCATTGTCTTAGTTCTTTGTCTTATATATTATATTTTTAGTAACTCCAAACTCCATGATGTTGTTAAGACAAATTAGTCTCATGTTCAATTTGTGGTTCATTTTCATTTAGATAATAATAGTTTGACTTCATGGGCTTTTCTTATTGTTCCAATATTCTTGTACTTTTATGCATTCTTTTATTCTAGGTTCTGATTGTCTAGTTATGATGTTTGCAGAGTGAATATAGCCATTAATTATTTTTTCCACCTCTTTTGAATTATTTGTCTTTTGTCTTTCTTCCGTTTACTAGTACTAAAATGTTTTGATTTGATACTCTAATAATTTTGAGTATCTCATTTTGAAGTGAAATATATGTAAAGTTCAATAAATACTTTTTAAGCAGTTTTCATTCTTCTTTTTCTTTTCACTACTTTTTCAAAAAATATTTTTTAAAAAATATTTTTTAGTTGTCATTGGATACAATATATTTTATTTATTTATTTATTTTTATGTGGTGCTGAGGATTGAACCCAGGGCCTTGCATGTGCTAGGCAAGCACCCTACTTCTGAGCCACAATCCTAGCCTTCACTACTTCTTAGCTGACAAATTTTCAGACTCACAGATAAGTTATATCATTTTGGTTTACTGATGAATATATTATATATAATATTTATGATGGATACATATTATTATATAATGTGTTTATCAGGACAACACTCATACCTTAGTTTTTTCTTTTAAATAAATCTCATGAAATTGTTTTTTTAAAATAAAAATTGCTTGAGCCAGGTGCAATGGTGCATGCCTGTAATCCCAGTAGCTCAGGAGGGTGGGGCAGGTGGATTTTGAATTTAAAGCCAGCGTCAGCAACTTAGTGAAACCCTGTCTCTTAAAAATAAAATAAAAGAAAGACTGTGGCTCAGTGGTTAAGTACCCCTGGGTTCAATTCCTGGTATCCGAAAGAAAGAAAGAAAAAGTTTGAATATTGGCAGTTTCATATAGCTCACCTTCTTTATATTGGTCTTTATATGTAATAGCAGCAGTATTATACACAAAAGCTTTGGGGCACTAGGAAGATGGTATGTTGTCTCCAGAGAAAAGGACATTAGAGTTAAATATTTGTGATTACAGGTGACACCAGAATTTTTTTTCTGGAATTTCAAGTCCAGAAGTTATTGTAAATATTAATTTGATCTCAGTCATGCATTATATATAAGCTATGTTTGCTGTTATGGTGACATTACATTGACCTACATCCTTTCTTTTAGACATATTTTTTAACACAGTCATACTAAAGATCCCTCAGAAGAAAGCATTTGTTTAAATAAAATTTTAGAAGTAGAACATTTCAAAGTAATTAAATGAAAATATTAAGAAGACAACCATGATTGTGCTTTGCAGAATTAGAGTTTGGAAGCACTGGGATTGTAAATGGTCATGAGCCAAAAACCTTTAATGATGGTAGGGTAAAACAGATAGTTATGGTTGACTAAAATGAGTAGAGAGTGATTTAGCTACCTAATATGAGCTAGACAAGAGTAGTGTCTTATGTTAGGATGGAAAACTAATTACAGGAATTGACAGTGAAAAAAGTAGAAATCCTATGACTATGCACATTAAGAATTTCTCAGTTGATCAACTTTATTTGAAAGAATTCTAGGACAGTTATCTTCAAGGAAGAAGAATGTTTTAGTTAAGGTAGTAGTATTTGACAAATTTTAAGGTGGAGGAAAGTTTATTAAAGTAGATGGATGAGTATTAAAGTAGATGGATGAGTAAAAGCATTTGGCAGTGTTAATCACTTTTTTTTTTAACCTCGGATTTCTCTAATAATATACTGTCTTTTCCTTGGATTTCATGGCTTCCATTTGCTTTCTTGCCCTTCCAGTTCATAACGCTTCCTCCTTTGCTAATCTCTTTAACATTGATTGATGTTCCTTACTACCCAGATTCTTCTCTTATCCTTTCTGATTATATGGATTGATGTTGGGCAATTTTACTCATTTTTTTTTGTACTTTGTTATTTCCCTTGCTCATAGCTTTTGAACCCTCACATATGTAATTATTTTGTCTTTTCCCACTGTTTTCCACTTGGACAAATTCTATTAGTCCTTTAAGGTTAAGTCTTTGATTTAATTTTAATTTCAGATTTAATTTAAGTTATCTAGTTATTCACTCTCCAACCTCCATTCTACTGCTGTTTTCAGTGCTTAGGAAAGTACCTAAAATTGGTAAATATTTAAATTAACGTTGTCAATTAGATTACCAGTTGTGCCTGTATTGTCACAGAAAAGAACATGTTAATGCTAATAATTTTTTAAAAAACCTGTTAACGCTTAGCAGTCATTAAAGAAATAACAAAGAGCTGTTTTCAAGAGGTACTATAGCATGGTTGCTAACAGCTTGAATTTTGGAGCAAGATGGCAGCTCTGATGGATGTCTTGATTTGGCTTCCAGTTCTTCTACTTACTCAAAGGGTGAACAATTGACATGCAGAATTTTTAAATTTTAATCATTAAATTAGATAATATGAAATATCTTTGAATATCTTGTATTTTTAAGCCACTTATTATCATTGTTCATTTTTCTTATTATTGTAAAGTCAGTCCCTGTTGTACTAACTCATTAGTTCCCAGATTTTCAATTCTGTGAATATTTCAGTGAAATTGATACAGGTGTATTAAAATAGGTTGAAATCATGATCTAGATTGTATGTGTTTCAGTCTATCAAATAATTCTCATTAACATCATTATAAGTATATTCTTACTGGTGTTGTATATTATATGCTATTTAAGTTTTATTTATATTTTGCATCTGGGATGATGGGGTGAAAAGGGTTAAAGAAATACAATGTAGTGTTTTCTTAACGACTAACTCTCCATTTGCATTTTAACATTGAAACTTACAGCTTTGAGTTTTGTTTTTGATAATTCTTCATTCCTCCAATTTGCTATTAATTTCCAGTTTTCTAGAAATCATTTGCCAAATGTACAGTTAATTTGTGAATATAGTTATGCCAGTGTGGTTTGGTTTAGGCCTTTTTTTCTTTTTCTTTAATCTGCAGCAACTGGAACAGATCCAGAAGGAACTAAGTGTTTTGGAAGAGGATATTAAAAGAGTGGAAGTAAGATATCAAGAATTTTTCAGATCTCGAGAAATTTTTCAGTTTTATGAAATGATCACTTTTCCTTTGTATTGCCATATTAAATTTATGGGACTGGTCTTAATTATAAAGAAAGTAACAAATATTACTTATTATTACATATCTATTATCTGCAGTTCCAGTATTCTGGAAACTTTTTAAATAAACATAGTTTACTTATAGAATCTGTTGGAAGAGTCTTGTAAAGTTTATAGGCTGCCATGATGTAAAGTTATTGGTTTTGCTGTGTTTAAATTTAGTATGTTTTTAAAATTATTCACATAATTCTTTTGCTGATGTATAGATCATATTAAAGGTTATGGATTCAATGTTTAGTAAATTTTTAGTATCTCATGTGACATTCTCAGTTTGCTATATTTATGGTACTTGTTTGGATGTATGCTTGACCTAAGCCTGAATTAGCCAAAAATAATTCTACCTGATTATGCATTTTAGTGGTGACTTCAAATATGCTGTTTTTTCATTAATCAAATGTAGCACATAAAAAAGGAGGCTAGTTGTCAAAATGATTCTGAGACATAATTTATATGATAATCATTGATCAAGAGGCCTTTTCCTGGCTTAATGATCAAAAATTAGAATTTAATGCATTGTTAAACACAGCTAATATTTTAATCAAGAAGAGTGTTAACTTTTCTTACTTTTGTAGAATTATTTTAAAGTAGAGAATTGCACAACCTGGGTTTTTTTGTACTTTAAAGCCTTAAAACTTGCCATCATATTTATCCTAGTATGTATCACTAAGTCATCACCTGGATGGATGATTAGCTGTTTCACTGTTCTCATAGTGTGCTGCATGTTTTCTTTCAAATATGTAGTTTTGCTTTGTCCATCTTGGTTTTATTATGGATGAACAATGTTATTAGAGAATTTATAGCTCTTTAATAATATGTACTACAGAAAAGATTGGCCTTTCATTTTCAGATTATTTTTACTTTGGTATTCTGTGGAGAGGAATTGTTGGGAAATATGAATGTTGAGACAAAAAGAGACTGATGAAAACCCAGGATTAAAAAGGAATATGTCAGGCTGGAGCTGTAGCTTAGTGGTAGACCGCTTGCCTAGCAGCATGAGGCACTGGGTTCAATCCTCAGCACCACATAAATGTAAACAAATAAAATAAAGACATAAAAATATATAATAGCATTATTTTTTAATTGATACATTATAATTTTACATCATAGTGGGATTTGTTGTTGTATATTTGTACATGAATGCAATACAACAATGTAATTTGGTTCCCAGTAGCCTATTTTTTTTATTTATACATTTTCTGGCTGGAGTATCTGCTTTAATTCAAATAATTGTACTTTCAGGAAATGAGTGGCTTATATTCTCCTGTCAGTGAAGATAGCACAGTGCCTCAATTTGAAGCTCCTTCTCCATCACACAGGTACAAAGTGCACATGCAATATTAGTCTTGGGATAGTTTTAAATGCAATGAGCTAAATCCCTAAGAAATTACTTTTGATCAGGATCTAGAAGTGAGACTTGGATGGTCCATCTTTTCTCTTAATGCTTTGGATTTTCATTTTAGGAATAATCAGTGACTAGAATATTATAATATTTTGAGTTTACAATTGTATTAAGTTTTGGTGAATTTCTTAAAATAATGTTTTATATGTCTTCTGAATTAGAGTCAGAAGACATTCAAAATCTAAATTTTGAAATATGAAATGGTAGTATTGGAGGGAAATGTGTTAAGAACCTTGAAGTTTTTTCCTAACATTGAATGTTTTGGGGTGATCACTTTCCCTAGATTCAAAATAAGGGCAGTAGATAGATATGTTAGTTTGTGTCTCCCTAGTATTTTCTTATAACTTCCTGTTATTTCCTTATAACTTCCTGTTATTTAATTTAATTAAGTCTTCATTTCTGTATATTCTGGTAGAGTAGGAATTATATTTGTTTTGTCATGACTGTCTCTCTGGATTTTAGAATGATACTCAGCTTAATTTAATTGTTTATAAAATGCATGAATATGATTTCTTCTAGTTCTAAAATTCTATTTGATGAAATATATACTACTAAATTTTGAATTTTTGTGCTTGAAGTTTTCAAACAAGAGCAATTTTACATGAAGTAAGTCACTTGATTTATTATTTTATTAGTCCATTAGGATAATAATGGTCCAATGGAAACTTTCCAAAAAAATTGTTTTGGGGTAACATGTGGATTATCAGGAAATCTAAATGCTAGTACAGTGAATTACATTAATGTTCAAAACATTTATCAGTTTAGGAATACTATTTTGAGTTTGGTGCAATATGTGGTGAAAGAGGTGCAGGGATATTTTAATTTAGGAGCATTCTTGAAAGTTTTATATTTTCCCCTAGTATGGAGAATCCTTAGGAGTTTTAGTTGATTTCATGGTCACCATAACTGTGTAATTAATTTAGCTGATTTTCCACCAGATTTAATTTTTTTTAAACATTCTGAAAGACTAGGCCTGTAGGAATACTGCTATCTTTCAGTGTGCCGTTCGCTTTCTGATACATGGGAGCTTTGATAATGGTATATTTTATGAGTATACAGTGAAGCAAAACTTGTTGTGTAACAAAACAATGTTATATTTCTTTGTTTATTTTTGTCTGTTGTGTTCAGGCCTTTGCTACTCAATGTGTTATTTGCTACTAATTGTTGAATTTTATGGACATATGACAACAGTATATTCACTGAATTGCTCTATTTATGGAATATCTCAAATGGGTTAAACACTGTTCTAGATGTTGAATCACAAAATGTCCAAAGAATAAGGTAATAAAAGCCCTATTCTTTGGACATTTTGTGATATGCATATAGTGGGAGGTTTGGGGAGACACTAAACAAGCACATATGTAACCTGGTAGTGGTACATACAATGCCTTAGAAGAAATGGTAGACTTGTTGGGGGTTTGCAAGTGGATTTTCTTTCAGTTTGGTAGATGGACTTACCTTAGGACTTGACATTTCTTGCCAGTACATGCAAGAAAGTATAAGTATGATGGAAAGTCATTGGATAGTGTTGTGCAGGGTCTGGTTTAGATTTTTAAAATGTTTATTTGATTTCCTGTGTGAAAGATAGAGGAAAACATTATCTGTATTCTTCCCAACTCTGGGCCATTGGAAATAGGGAGTAAAGTTAGGAAGCACTGCAAAAGTCCAGAAGAAGGTAAATGATAGTTTGGATTAGGATTTTATTAGTGTAGGAGATAAGAGTAGTTAGTTAGTTGAATTATAAGATAAAGTAGCAGATATTGTAAAAGATATAAAATTTTATAAGGTCTATGAAATATTGAGAGAATTGCTAAAGTTATTTGAAAAATTGTTGTCAAATGAAATTTAGGCTTAGTTATATTGGTTTACAGTTAAAGAAGGGCAAATAGACAATATTTTCTTTAAAAGAGTGTTTTGATATTTAAGCAGTTGATTCAAATATCACTCAGTGATTGAGATAGGTACTTGAGAATATGAAGTCACCCTTAAATACTCTTGTGTATATGACCCTTAAGATAAGAGAGGAACTCATTGCTGTCAAAAATGTTAGACTAATTTCTTCATTTTTAAGAAACAGCATTCAGTTGCAATTATATTAACCCTTTTTCTTTCATACATATAAGAATTATTATTTAAATAACTAGATAGCTTATGTATATATTCCTCTCTAAAAAATTTTTTAGCAGAATTACTTTTAAAAGCCCTTTTCTAGATTTATTTTTCTATAATGAGGACCTTTTTATGTCAGGTCATTGACTCCCTTAAGATAGATTCTGGGTTTAAACTATGTATGTAAATGAAATGAAAAACAAAAACCAAATAGTAGAAACCTTTGCCTGCCCTAATTTTTATCCTGTTTCCATAAGATAAAATAGTAAGTAAATGCAATATAAATACAAGTAGTAAAGATTTTCTGATCCTTAATCTCTCATTTTAAAAATGATTTTACTGATAGAAATTTGCTATTGATTTAATTCTTCGGAAGCGGGGGAAGACATACATCAGTCAAAGTTCTAAATTGCTTTGTAAAGGTTTCTGTGGAAGAGAAAGAGATTTATAAATAAAATATAAGTGAAACTTTTATGTAATTTAATTTTATTAATTGTTCTGTCAAACATTTTGATACTTTTCACTAGTGTTTCTATTATTTTGGCAAAGGCCCAAATGAAACAAATTATAGGGATAACACAAGGGAAAAGCAAAGAGTCACTTTATGTATGCTAGGAATATTTAACAAATATTAAAACCGTATATGTAGAAGAATAACCGAAATTCTTGTGAATTTATGTTTTGTAATTTTAGTAAATTAATGTCATTCAAGAAGCTGAATAATTGCATAATGGCTTCTGGACTAGGTAGAAGAATGCCCCCTTTTTAGCTTACCCACGTTTCTGTGTTCAGTTATACTTTCCTCCAGACATTAGAATACAGTATGTCTGTGAATGCGGGAACTTGGGGATGGCTGTTTGGTACATTGGATGAAAAGTGAGCCATCTTTTCTTTTGTACATGTTGGATCTTCTATTGGATTATATCCCCCATGATCAATAGTGGTATTTACAACTCCTTTTTCACATGTAATGCTTATATGAACTTGGTGCTTTTTGGAATTATTACTGGTTTAACTGCTTTATTTCACTGGGAAATAAAGCAGTGAAACATATTCTATGTTTTTTTTTAAAAACATAGAATCTGAAATGTTTTTATGATAAAATCTAACTCTAAATTCTTATAAATTTGTCACTTTATTAATTGTGCATTTTAAGTAGATTTTACTCTATAACCATAAATGTATTTTTATAAAACTTTTATTTTCCTTACCGAAGAAAGGAAGATTGTAACAATACCAGAAATTTTCTATATGTGAGCTGGTATTTTTTTTCCAAATCTCCAAGGTTAGAGTTAGATGATTACATATTTTAAGACACCTCAGCTACACTTGCCTGAGGGACTTTTGAACATCAGTTGTGTTTTGCAGTATTTTAATGAAGTGTACCTGTGATGTTTGAGTAGTACATGTTTTGAGTAGTACAACCAGTTGATTGTTGCATTTTGTATTACTCTGTCTTACTATGACTTTATACCTTGCTAAGGAGTTAAATTTAACGTAAGTTAAGCTTAAATGCAATGCATTTTAAATAAACTATAACAAAACAAAACAAAAATACAAAGAGAAGAAACTTTCCAGATAATGATAGGAGGGTATTCTTTGCATGTCTGTAATTTCTTAGTAAAATTTCTAGGTCATAGAAATATAACAAGCTATGTAAACCTTGAAACAGTATAATTTTCTTTATTTAGAATATTTGAAGAACTTATTTATAGTCAGGCAGCCAGTATTTGGGACGTATCAAGTATATATAAACACTGTTAGATTCCAATATGTAGTTTGAATATGGAAGACCCTACTCTACTCCATGATTACACACATAGTCTTAGGATTGAAAATAAGGTATGATGGTTAATAGAATATTCTGTTTTATATATGGTATAATGTGGACTTTTAAAAGTATGAGCATTTAAATTCCATCAAAATGCATTTACTTCTATTGATTTACAGGCATTTCAGGATTTTGATAACAGCCCTTTGGGTTCTTGTTATAAACTGTAATTGTCACTGCTTGAGGAAGATAGTAATAGTTCATTTAAATTTTGAAAAATGGGGTCCTAAAGAGTCCAAATTCCAGTGTCTTTTAGTGTCAAGGAAGACCTTTGTTTGAAAGGCAGATTTTTTTAACCTTATTACCAAATATTAATTGAGATGGATCCTACAGATTCAAATGCAGGCCTAGGGGTGTGGGTATAGATAATACTTCAGAAAATATGGAAAAATTGTTTTAGTTGATTCTGAATATGCCTGTATTGTTGACATGTTTTAAGTCTCTAAATCACATGCTTATTTTCCTTTTTATAAAACCTCACATATTCAACAATAAAGTTTTATAAATCTCTTCAATATGTTTTATAATTTTTAAAGGATGGGATAAAGATTTCAAGTTTTTTCTTTTTGTGTTAATTTACACATTCCTTCATAATGTCTTTAAAATAACTCAAATTTCTGGAGGTTAGTCTCTTCAAGGCAACCAAATTCTGTGTATTTACAATTGTTTCCTGTAGGATTCAACTCACTCCTATACTGTGATTAGATCTTGTTCTTTGACTTTTGGCCTTTTCAGGTTAGAGTCATAAGAAACTCTCAGGCCTTTGATTATTATATCTTGATCCTGAGATGTTAGGAATGGGAACGGCTAGGGAAACCAAAACTATACACAGTAAAATTGGTTTAGATATAAAGAAACTGTATACAAACATAAAATTTCACCTACTGTCACCATTTTCCATTTCTGCAATTTACTGTCTCTTCCCTACCCAGTTCCCACCATATTTTCCCCATTCTTCTGATCCCCCAACCTTTGAATCTTTTCTTATTGTTTTGGAATACTTTCTCTAACTTCTTTACTTTTAATACCTTTTTCTGAGGTTATTTCAGATAATGGACTTTTTTTTTTTTTATAATTCTAAAAGCTGTAGCAACTGTATCACCTGCTAATTTCTCTGGGAATTGCAAATAAATTATAATCTATTCCAACTCATTGGGAGGTAATGATAGTATATAAATTAGTCAAATACAGCATTTTTGTAACAAACTTTTCAGTAATTTCTTTGGAGGTAGATGAATCTGGTGAGCCTTATTTTTGCTTTTGAACTTATGTGAAGCAAAATTGTTTACTTAAAAAGGCAGTAAAGCAATAAACTCAGAGCAATTTTATCTTTCAGAAAATTACCATCTATTTGCCTTTTATATTTTTTGAGTACTAAATTTCTCCCTAAGGAGAATTTCTTACAAGAAAATTCTAAAATAGTTGCCCTTTTGTTTTTCATTGTAACTGCAAGATGATTGTAGAATAGCAAACATTTTGAAAGGCAGTACAGATATTAACTTTCATAGTTCCCTTATGCATTAGGTAACTGCAACTCTTCCTAACCATGAATTAATTAAAAGAGGACAGGAGATTACTGGGGAAAATTCTTTGCTGCAGTTCCAAAACATCTTGCATCAAAATCAGAAGTCTTTACCAGAAATACTGTTCTAGAAGAGAACTCTATTGACAAAAGTTGCAACAGTTGGAGTAATATTGTAGTTATCTATTTTGTACTGTTCTGTAATTAACATGCATTGTTTCATATAATACTCATAACAAATTCTGTGTGATAAGTTTTATTATTTTTAATTTTATACATTGGAAGACTCAAAAGAGATGAATTAATTTGCTCACTACCCAGTGATATAACTGATTTTCTAATTCAGGCATCCTTTCTTAAAGCTTCTAAAGCCTTGGTGAATGAGTGGATTGTGGAAGTCATTCCAGAGTTGAGAAGAAGATAAACAATAGAAACTCCCATTTGAATTGTTAAGAAGGAAGACAAAGGTCACCCTGGCAATTTTAGTATAAGGATTCTGGAATTAAATAAAATATACATGAAGTTTGGGTTTGAATTTTATTTCCACAAGTTCTTGCCAATTTGACCTTCATAAAGTTTGTTAATTTCTGTGAACTTCAGTTTAGAAAGGATAGTAGTACTTGAGTTGATTGATAAATTGTGCTAATATATTTGAAGAAATGAGAATAATGTCTGGCACATAGCAAAAACTGAGGGGCTGCTGCTGCTATTATTGTTAACAGTTGATAGATTAGTCACAATGATTTTGGGTGATTTGTTTGACTTTGTGTTAATTGTTAAAGGGTATGTGGAATAAAGAAGGAGGAAATGAACATGAATGGTCATTTTTCATATCTGTGGAGGTATCTACAAAATTGAGTCTACACTAATTTTAGTTATTAGTAAATGAGACTCACCACTAATTTGAATCTAGTTCAATAATTTAAATGAAGAGTGTTGGAACAGAACAGAACTTTTCTATAGTCCCATATGGTTTATTAAGTATGGAAGTTTATTTTTTCTCTTTCTTAGATTTATAGTAAAAAACAAATTCCAAGTCTTAATTTCTTTTATATACTTGGCATTTTTTGGTTTATTTAATGCCATTATTAATTTAAAAATCCCATATTTATAATGTTAATGTTCAGCCTCAATGTACTTTATTTTGCTTATCAATTTAAAAGTCATCTTTATGATTTAATTAGCTAATGTGGTGTATACTGAAAGTTTCGGTCTGAATTCACCAAACCTATTGTTTTTATGAAGAGCGAACCACTACTTTTTCTTAGATACCACTTCATTATAGGAACATTTTATATGTGAAATTGACTTAACAATTTGTCTTCTAATTATGAAGTATAGTTTTGCTTTTGGAATAAATAATTATATAAATGCCAGTAGGTGAGTGACATCTAGTTACTACATAACTGAGTTTTTTTTTTTTTTAATCTGAGGTTAACAGCTACAGTGTTTTCATTTATGCTTTTAGAGAAACTTATCATCCTCCCAAATGAGAATATTATCTTATTTTCTTACTTTATTATATCTTAATATGTTTACCTTATTTTATTTTCCTCATCAATTTTAGTTAATATACTGACAGTGTTTTTTACCTTACCACTTTTGGTGCCCTCACTACATTTTTATAGCTTTTATAACCTTATTGATATTTACTTGAAACAATTAATGATTCTGTTTCATATTAATAGGTTGCTGCTTTTCATTTTTCTGAAATATTACCATGAAATGGGTGGTCTAATGTAGGATTTTCCCACTCTTCAATTAGAGAATATAAAGTACCTGGGAATATGGCATAGTTGCTCATACTTTGATGATGTATTTAATATTTAAGACCTATATTTTCAATATCTCCAAAATATATTTGAAATGTGTTATTTCCCTGTATGACTGATGTATCAGTAACATTGCTGAGGCATACAGTCAAAGAATTCTCACAAAGCCATTTTAAAAAAAATTGTAGCTAACAGCTGTTCTTTTGGCCTCTAAATATGTACCTATGTAATCAGTGTTACACAAATCCTAGGGAACTGGGCTTCATATGAAAAAGGAAAAGAGAGATTTCTTAGTACTTGCTTTTTCTCATGTGTTTCCCTAATAGGCCCTGTATGAGTTAGACCAAAAATAACATTTGATTTTGGCATATGAGTGCATAATTCTACAGGCAGCATTCATTTGGCTGTATTCTTCCTCTTCCTCCTCCTCAATCTTCTTCTGCTTCCTCCTCTTCCTCTTTTTTTTTTTTAAATTTTAAACAGACACAACACTTTTTTTATGCCTTTATTTTATTTATTCATTTTTATGTGGTGCTAAGGATCAAACCCAGTGCCTTGCTCAATGCTGTGCAAGTGCTCTACCACTGAGCCACCACCCCAGTCCTGTCTCTTCCTCTTTTTTCCTCCTCTCCCTTTTTTCCCCTTCTTTCTTGAAAAGAAGTTTAATACAAGTGTGCATAAATTCTTGATAGTGTAAAGGCTTTTTCTTGGATAGTTGAATTTTACTCTAGGAATAGTTAAGAACACAATTAAGACCTATATAATGCTGCTTGACTACTGTGAAGACTGTTTTATATGATTTATCATATTTTTGGAATGGTGAGGTTTTATGTTTTTGTTAATATAAGCTAAAGTTCATCAAATATTTACCATATTTTAGCATTGTTCTGAGAAATCTACATACATAATCTCATTTAAATATTATAAATTTTTGACATATATTTGTCATTTAATCAGTGAAATAGCATGGCATAGTGTTGAATGCCTGTTATCTATTGAGGAGGCTAAGGCACAATTGGGAATTCTAGATCAGATGAGCAAGTTAGGAAGACTCTGTCTCAAAAGCCTTGGTTCCATTCCTACTACTGAAAATGAGTGAATGAATGAATGATAGAGAAACTAATGGTGAAATAAGATTAATAACTTAAAAAATAAAAATTTTTTAAAATGATTTATAACTTAGAGTCAGATTATTAGCCACAAAGGAGTGACACTGAAACTCTGCATTCCTCAAAAGTACCTCTCAAAGTTACACCTTTGAGATTATTTCTGTACTTAAGTGATTTTGAGTATTTTTGTGGAGACATTTAAATTAGTATCTTCAATTGGTTATATTTTGTTAGGGTAGACAAGAAAATAAATGTTTATTGTAAAAATAATATCAAAAATATAAATATCAGTTTATCATTATTGTATATGTGTAGATAATTTTTAATTGTTGCTAGTTTCTATGGACCATCATTTTGTATGAAGATAGGAGGGATATAGGAATAGAGAAATGATAAGTTTGAAATGGCAAACTTGAGGAAGAACAAGATAGTGTGGGCTTCTAGAGAATTTTTAGGGTACATTTTTAGGAAAATGTATATATAATATAACCAAATAAAAAGAATGGATGTAAAAAACGGACTATGCTTGACCAGGAGAGTGGAAACTAATGTATAGGTTTTGGGTTACGAAAGATTTTTGCTAGTTTACATTTACTCCATTTCATAGTTTTCTTTTCTGCTAGGCTTTGTCATAACATTTTGGGGCTGGAATCATAAAATTGAAGTAGCTAGTCCCCACTCATCTTAAATGAGTGATTGTAAGGTAATTTGTCCAGGAACACATAGCTTTTTAGTGGATAGCATGGTCTGTTAAACATAGCTTTTATGTTGCATGCTTATTCTCTTTTCCCAATACTGTGTAAATCCTCTTTTCCTTAAGGTTCCAAACTATTTATTAACCTATCTGATAACGAAATAGAGACAAATATAAATCTGTATGGATACCTTCCATGCTATTATTTTTAATTGACATTTTTGGTGTTTATGTTAAATTACTTAATTATTTGCTGATTTTATGTTTATGGATTTGTATTTGATGTCTAGGTAAATAATGGCAATAAATGTTTTCTTAGACATTAGCAATTTTGGATTTATGTATGATGAATTTTAGATCACTTTTTCTGTTGCCAAAATAATGTAAATACTGAAATCACATTTTTTTTCTTCATTTTGCAGTAGTATTATTGATTCCACAGAATACAGCCAACCTCCAGGTTTCAGTGGCAGTTCTCAGGTAAACTATATATTTAACAGTATGTTTTAGTGGTACCATGAGTATAATCACCTAAGTTGTGAAATCATAGATTAGTTTACTGAAATGTCCTGACATAAAGATGTGCATTTCAAATGCAAATCTGTGGCTTGGAGTGGACTTGGATAACTCTGATGTATAATAGTAGAATGACCTGTTGAGTTATTGTCAATGATAAAGAGTCTTTTTAAAAATATTGTTTTTAACTTGCTGATAATATCAGACCTTAAGAGGAAGAAAATACTTTAGGAGGAAGTTATAAAAAATCAGGGCATTGTTTGTCTTAGAGATATGAAAGTTATAATCTATTAATTATTCAAGATTGTATTGAAACATTAGCTTTTTATGATATTTGGACTCCAGGCTGGAGTAAAAGACACTTAACTTCATCTCTTTAAATTAATTATAATTGACTTTTGCTTTCTCCACCTTTGACTTGGGTATACTGATATTTGTCATACTTATTTTTTGAGTTCTGATTGTTTTTGTACTTCTAATGCTGAAAACTTTAGATTTAGAGAAAGGTAACAAGAATATAAAAAGAATTTCTTTATATTTTTCACATAGATTGTCCAAAAGTCCTTCTTTACATAGATGTGCATATGATTTTTTTTCTCTAGATTATTTGAGTAAGGCACAGGCACCTATTCCTTTATGCTTAAATACTTCAGTGTATGTTTCCTTTTTTTTTTATAAAAAAAAAAGGATATTGTCTTATGAATGCAGTACTCTATGCAGTCTTATAATTTGAGAAGTTCGCATGGATATAGCACTATCATCTAATCCCTAAATCTTATTCATATTTAATGATTTATTCTAATATGAAATGTTTTTAATTCACATTCATTTGTATATTCACTTTATGTGAAAAAAATAATGCAGTTTTTTAATGTGAAAAGTAAATTCTTTTGATCACTTCTTTTTTCTTTTCGTAAACTTGGATGATCACTTCTACTACTTTTTCTATTTTTCCTGACTACCAGTATTACCTTTATTGAGTTTTTGTGACTTTTCTGTATATCCTTTATTGCCTTCATGTACGTGCTTGCATTTGTTCTGTTTGTTTGTAGTAAATTCATAGATTGGTTTGTATCTCTTCAACCATTAAAACATCAGATTTATGTATTTTTATAAAACAGTGGGATATTTCAGGAGAAATTTTAAATCCTTAACTTGAAATATGCTGTAAAAACTTGAGAGAGAAAAAGCAGTCCCTCCATCTGGAAACTGACTTGGCATTCATAGCTAGGCCTTTATATTCCTCTTTTGAACATAATTTCACAGAACATTAACATTCAGACACAGCCATTATGTGACTTTGACAAAGTGGAATGAAAAATAAGATTACTTCATAAACTTGTTTAAGCATAGAAAAAAGTAAGGTCACCAGAAACCACAAAAAATACCAAACATACCCCAGTCCTGAGTAGTATGAGTGATTGCTACTTCTTTATCAGATATGACTTTAGCCTCACTCTTTTCTTCTGTCCTAAATAAGGCTTATTGTGATACTGAAAGATAGTTAGTCCCACATGGTAGTATCCACTCTAGAGCAAAGCCCCATTTTCTTGAGCACTCCTACAAATTATATAGTGTGTTCTTAAATTCTGTAAGTTGTTTCTAACACCCTCTTATTGAGACATCTCTTACTGAACCATAATGCGTTGTCTTTTTTGTAGTGAGTAGTAAATCAAACTACAAGAGTGTTCTTTTTGGTCTTTGGCTAGGAAGCATTGGAAAACTATACATAGAGAAATAAGAAAAGGTTTTCATTGTTACTGTTAACATTGTTCTGAAACTTCCAGTAAATTCCATTACCTAGCAAAATGTAAAAGTGGAATCTAGAGGAAAAAGAAAAACATTAAGAATATAGAAAAACATTAAGAATATATGATGGTTGGACTTTGTGGTTTTTGACTTCACAATTGGTGTGAAAGCAGTGTTCATTCAGTAGAAACCAGACTTCGAATTTTGAATTTAGACCTTTTCCTAGATAGCTATATGCTGTATATCTGTCTTGTGATGCTAAGCAGCCAACTGTAGCTCCCAGCTAGAGAAGCCGTCAGTAATGTCAACAACCAATACTCTGCTGTGTATTGTGGTGCTTAGCTATGATGTTTAGTGGGTTAGATGTATTCAATGCATTTTTTAGTTAAAATGTTTTCAATTTATGCTTTATTAGGGCATAACTCCATAGTAGTGAAAGAACATTTACAATATTTTACAGACTATTAACATATTGTATAGCTGTACTTAACTAATATATGGTATGTGACTGAGACAGTGTGTTAATCTCTTCCTAATTTTCATCTACAAGGAACCCCATTGATGTATAGCTATCTCTATTGATTTAAAAAAGAGAAAAAGAAATCCTTAAGGAGTGCTGCCTAATCTATTGAGTGCTGTATGCAGAGTAAATGTGGTTGTAGGGACTGAACAGTCTACATATCCTAGGAGAATCCAATCTTAGCATCTATTAAAGGACAGGGCAGTTGCTGAAGAGTAAATCCTACTAGTATTTCTGTAGTATGGAACTGATATAACACATTTCACTGAATGCCTTACCTTTCATGTCTAGCTAGCTCTGTATGAGACAGAGATAAAATAAATTGATACAAAAAAGATTGAAAAGAGGAATAGTTAAGGATAAACTTAGCAAATATAAGCTAAAGAACATAACAAAATCAAAACTGTATTGACCAAAATAGAACTTCAGGATAAAACAAAAGAAAACAAAAAGTTACAATTTTCACATTTATAAAACACATATATTCCCCCCAGAGCAGTAGTAATACAATAATCTATCAGTATTTGGCAGGGGCTTAGTTCCAGGATACCCCCTCCCCTGCAGTAACAAAATTTGTATATGCTCAAGGACCTTACATAAAAAGGTATAGTGTTTGATATAACCTGTGCACATCCTCCTGTATGCTTCAAATCATCTTTAGATTATCTTAAATGCCTAATTCAGCATGAATGCTGTATAAATAGTTGTTACAGTATATTGTTTAGGGAATAATGACAAGACAAAACTCTATACATGTTGGGTACAGGTGCACATTTTTTTCAGAATATTTTGTAACTGCTGATGCCGATGTAGAATCTGCTTATATGGGGGGCTTATTGTACTGTGTTATAAAAGATTGGAATTTGTATGAAGTAAAAATTGTTAGAAAATAATTTGGTAACATTTATTTTACAGTTACTTTTATAGATACTTCATGTGTGTTAAATGCTTTAATTTTCACTATTACCTTATAAGCATTATTTTTTTATTTTACTGCGAAGGAAACTAGAGCACTGAGGAGTAAAGGAGGTTGGCTAAGGTGATATAACTAGTAAGAGGCAGAAGCTTAGATTTTTAAACCAGGTAGTATAACTTCAGAGCATGTACTTTTAAATATTACTTTATTCAATCATTAATTTTTTTTTGAGTGCCTGGTATTTATGAGGTTCTGTTTATAGGTTCTAAGGACACATCATGTAACACAACCAAAAGATATAAAAATCCCTGATGCAACTGAACTTCCAAGTTGCTGTAAAGACACTGAGTAAAACAACAACAACAACAAACAAGAAGAAGGGAGGAAGCAAATCATCTGATTATCTTTGGGGAGAAGTTTTAGGCAGAGGGATAACAAGTAAATAAGTCCTCTGGTCCGACTAAGCCTAGTGTAGTTCAGAAGTCCAGTGTGGCTGATGAGGAGTGAATAAAAGAAAAGTAGGGTAAAAAACATTAACAGATTGTTTATAGTTTTCTTAGGCCATTATAAAGTCTTCAATCTTTTTTTTGTTTTTTGAGTGAAACAAGGTTAGTTTAAAAAAGCACTTGTATCAACTTTATACTTTTCATCAAAGGCTGCACATTATTTAGTTCTTAGAGCATTTAGAAGAATGGATTGGTTGTAAAAATAGGATAAATTTGATAATAAACAAATAGAAACAGGTTGACTGATAATTTGTAAGAAAGTAAAGACTTCTCTGAATACCTTTGTGTCAGAGTCATTCCAGATATAGATATAAAAACTCAAAAAATAATGCCAGATAGAAAACATTACACATCAAAATTAATGAAATAAAATTAGAATTGTACTATAACTTCATAGCACTAAATGCTTTTGTTTTAGGTAAGAATGAAAATAAGGCTGGGGTTATAGCTCAGCAGTAGAGCACTTAGCACATGTGAGGCCCTGGGTTCAATCCTCACACCACATAAAAAAATAAATAAAATAAAGGTATTGTGTCCAACTACAACTAAAATATAAATATTTTTTTAAAAAAGAATGAAAATAAATGAACTACGCATTCACTTCAGGAGACTACATTATCATGAGATAGCAAATATAGAAAACAAATTTAATAAAAGCTCATATGCAATATAAGTCAAAACTAGCTATTGTCATGATGCAAAATAGATTAAAATAAAGTGCAAATGCATACTAATAAAAATAGAGGTCTTAATGAAGTGTGCAATTTTCAAAAACTATTAAAATAGATTAAGTCAATTGTAGGACAGTTTGCATAGACTAATAACCATAATGCTAAACATGATGACAATTAGACATTAAAAATAATGTTTGATAGTTAAAATTGCATTGAAAAAAATGTTTCTCAAAAATTGAAATTAAAACACAGATTTTATATAGATATTTTATACTTTTGAATTTTTATAATTGCCTGTTGATTTTGCTTTAAATTTTTATATAATCATAGTACATTTAACAAAATTAGGAAATTAACATTAGTAAAAATATCATGAGAGAATTTTAAATTTTTTTGACACAATTATCAAAATATTTATTCACTTGATGATAAATATAAAAATCCACTTTTTAAAGAATATATTCAAATACTTTATTTATTGACACTGATAAAATGACATCAATTACAAGGAACATTCTTTTAAAAAAAATTATTTCTTACATGACAATAGTTGAATGCATTACATTCATAATTATGCATTCACAGCACAGTTTTTCATA